AGAACCACATGATTTCACTCATATGTGGGATATAAAACTGAAGGCAGCAAATGAACAAACAAAACAACCTCATAGACACAGAAAACTGTATAGTGGTGACCAGAAAGGCAGGAGGGTAGGGGGCAGTAGAAGATGGCAGAGGGGGTCAGACATATGGTGATAGAAGGAGACTTGAATTTGGGTGGTGAACACACAAGGCAATATACATCTGATGTATTATGGAATTGTACACTTGAAATATACAATGTATTCACCATTGTCACCCCAATAAATGTAAGAAAACTTTTTTTAAAAAGGAAGTTTCTCCTGGCTGCTAATTGTTAGGACTCTCTCTACATTTTGCCTCCCGATGTTAGTTTATTACCTAATCTCCACAAACTTCCAGTGTCATCTCTATGACACAGATAATACCATCCTTATGTAATTTTGCTGAACATTAAGTCACATCACGTATATCAAGTACCTGTGACATCATAAACTCTTGCACTTGCAGTTACTATAATTAGTAAGTTCTCCAGGTCTTGGTTAATCTCTAGAAATATACAAAGTATTTGACTTTTTTCCCCTTGAGATGAGAGGGAGGTGAGATGTGAAGAGAGTAGGGCAGGGCCAACTCACATAAAAATTAGAATTTGGTTCTGTGAGAATTTACAAACCACTAGGAACTATTACAGCTTATTCAGAAAGTAGAAATATGGGTAGAGCACTATCTGAAAAAAATAATTTAAATTGTTCTTCACATGTATTTATATTTGTCATTTCAGATATACAGTAAACTACTTGTCTCTCAGTTACTTTCCTACAGTAGTTCCCCCTTATCTGTGTTTTGCCTTTTGCAACTTGTTACCTGTGGTCAACCACGGTCTGAAAATATTAAATGGAAAATTCCAGAAATAAACAATTCATAAGTTTTAAATTGTGCACCATTCTGAGTAGCATAAAGAAATCATGTGCTGTCCCACTCCATTGCGCCTGGGACGGGAATCATCCTTTGGTCCAGCGTCTCCATGCTGTATATGCTGACCCACCCAGTACTCACTTAGGAGCCATCGTGGTTATCAGTTTGACTGTCATGGTATTGCAGTGCTTGTGTTCAGGTAATCCTTATTTTACTTAATAATGGTCCCAAAGCACCAGAGTAATGATGCCAGCAATTCGGATATGCCAAAGAAGAGCCATAAAGTGCTTCCTTGAAGTGAAAAGATGAGTCGAGTACAGTAAGATATTTTGAGAGAGATAGGAGGGAGAGACCACATTCACATAATTTTTGTTATAGTATATTGTTATAATTGTTCTATTATAAGTTATTGTTAATTTCTTACTGTGCCTAATTTATAAATTAAACTTTATCATACATATGTATAAGAAAAAACACAGTATGTATAGGGTTTGGCATATCTGTAGTTTCAGGCATCCACTAGGTGTCTTATAATGTATACCCTGCAGATAAGCTGGGGACTACTGTATACTTGAATTCCTACCGCAGCATCTATACATTGCTTATGTGGAGGGTTTAGAATGTTATGCTACATCATCCAAATGTGGTTCATTTGTTCTGTTTTTTTAATCCCTAATGAAAACTAGAAAATCATATTCATTGTTCAATACCAGAGACATACAGTAGTGTAAAATACATAGCCCCGCTCTCCTAAAACTCTTTAAGCTGAAATATGATTGGACCTCATCTAGTAAAACACTGAGAAGTATAGTGCTATCTAGTACATTTTTCAGCTGCATTGCCATGACGCTCATGTTTACTTATCATTAGAAAACTTTGATGAAACTACTTTTCTACATGGGTGAGCCTTTAACTATTGGGATATTTGGAAGAGGCGTTCAAGCTAAAACAATAGTTCAACTTGTGTGTGCGAGAAGGCCCAGGCTCCCTCTGGTGGCCATAATGTCTTAACTGTTTTTATTGAAGAAATACTGATAATGTGGAAGATGCGGTTGTCAGGGTGAAGTGGTGTTCCCAGTTAAGCACCATACAGAAGTCTGGTGCCTTAGATAAAGATTTAGCACAAAGCCTGTGCTAAATCTAAACTTGTAATGTATTATATGCTACATCTGCAGCGGCCAGGTTGCTTGGTTCCGTGGCTCCTAATCCTTCTTTAATTCTGAGTGGGGAGAAGGAAGGAGGGGAAGATTAAGATATCTCCTAATCATACCTATTCCGACCACTCAGGAATATGATGAGGAATTACTGAGGTACTTATTAGGCACTTTGAATTCTTCCAATAAAGATGTTTTGTGAACTTAACATTTTTCTCAGTAACATATTTTCAACTCTTAAGTTGAACTCCTTTCAGAGCAGTGGTCAATAGTAAGATTACAAAAATAGTAAGTCAAATGCTGTCATATTTATTATTTTACTTTTAGTATAATATAGTACACAAAATATAGTATATTATATATTATAGCCTATATAGCATATATTATAGTATAATATTTCTAGGTAATATAATTGGAGTGTTTGGGGGATGTAGAATAGCACTATGCAATGATGGGGTTTTAACCCTTTGTAGATTTATGAAGTGGTCTAATATTAGGGTTTCAGAAGAAAGGAAAATGATTTCTAAATGATGTCTCATCAAAGTAATTTCTCTTAAAATTGAATATTGGGTTATTGCTATAAGGGGTGAATGAGGGATGCTTTTGAAGAATATTGAACTAATGTGGGACTGCTGTGTATTTTTTATATATGTTATACTTATGGACAACTCGGTTCTATTTCCTCAGGAACTTATTTGGGAAGTTCAAGTAAAACATCTGCATAATTAAGGGCCTTTTAATTAAGAAAAATGGCTGTTAAAATGCCACAGCTTTCTAAATCCACAAAATGATGTTGAGCTGCGGATCATGAATTCATCTTAAATTGCTGATTAAATGTGTGCAGATGTAAGCATAAAAATAACACATTCCTCATTAGCACATGTTTACATTTGTTAAGTCACAGGTGGTCTAGCAATTGGAGGAAATTAGCATTTTTTTTTTAAGCTTTGGCACTTTCCCCTGCCTTAAAGCTGTTTGAAATTGCTGGCCATTTCAGAACTCAGTTTAAATATATGACTATTATAGTGCTATAGAACGTAAACACATAGATTACATTTTTGAATCTTTTAGGACCAATATTTATGGCTGATGTTCTCATTCAGGTTAAGATAACATTTCTGCTAATTCTTCCGAGATGGGAAAGAAAGGCATTTCCCTTAGTATTGTAGCAGTAGTTTTTGTTGTTTTTTTTTTAAACATGAAAATACCCTTATGTTTTTTCCTTTTCTGATTATTAGCATAAGAAATTTTCTTAGCTTAAAAAAATCAGAAAATATAAATAATTATAAATAAGGAAATACAATTACCTGCGATTCCAACACTCAGAAATAGCCACTGCTAATGCTTTTTAATATTTGTGCCTTTTCAGTCAGTATCATTTAACGGGTTCACATATTGTCTTATGTATCAGGCCAGCCAAATGTAGGGAAAGGTGGATTCCATACAAGAAATCCTTCCAAGGAAGCATTTCTTCAGATTTTTTAAGCACACAATTTTTTTCTTCTAATAAAATCTAGTAACAATATCATGTTTTTGTTTTTGTTTTTTAAAGATTTTATTGGGGAATTGGGGAAGGGGAACAGCCAAGTTGTTGTCCTTCAACCTTAGTTGTGGAGGGCGCAGCTAGCTCAGCTCCAAGTCCAGTCGCCATCGGGCCTCTTAGTTGCAGGTGGGTGTAGCCCACCATGGGAGTCCAACCGGAAACCTTGTTGCTGAGAGCCCAGGCTCTAACCACTGAGCCATCTGGCCGCCCGTGGGCAGCTCGAGGCAGCTCAGCTCAAGGTGCCGTGTTCAATCTTAGCTGCGGGAGGGTGTAGCCCACCATCCCACGCGGGAATCCAACCAGCAACCTTGTTGTTAGGAGCACGTGCTCTCACCAGCTGAGCCATCCTGCCATTCTGTGGGCTCAGAAGGCCCTACCAGAATGCCTTTATTATGTGGTGCCTTTATTAACTGAGAAAAATGAAAGCAATGATCATATCTTATGCTGAAAGTGATATTGAGCCCCCAAATGCCGATACCAATTATGAATGTAAAATTCCACAAGACAGAGTCTGTCAGTGGCTTTGCTTAGCTCCAGGCCATTGAATTGCTAGGGTTTGGGGTCCTTTCTTTGGCCCTATTATTAGATCTCAGTTCTTTTGAAAGGACTGATGACATCTTATCATTTTCTCACTAGGAAAAAGACATTTTGTGGCAGCAGTTGCAGTGATAATAGAATTCTAGCATTCATTGCTGTTAGGGGGAGTATGAGACAGGGATGCTGACTTTGAATTTCTCTCTCTAGGAAGCTAAAGGTAGTGGTGGAACTCCTTTCTACTCAAGTTGTTCTTGGGGCGAGATTTGTGGATCTGTACAGAAGGATAGAGAAGGGCATATGGAGGGTGACAGCATGGGTCACAGATAGGTCTCGGCCTTTGTGGGCCCAGAATCATATCATCAGATGTGGTGTGAAAGGTGGGTCAGTGGCACACAAGCTGCCAGCCTGGGCTGTCCCACCGTTTCTTTTCCCCTTGTGGTTGCTGTTTCTACTAGGTGATTACAGATCATACGAATAGAATAAGGAGGGGTTCTTCTTTTGCCTTTACTTAGAAATAGCTAGAAGGATCAGAAAGAGAAGCCTTGAATTATTCTCCATTGTAACATCACCACTGGAGGGTAGGTGGATTTGCCCCTGCAGTCCTAAGCTCTGTCATCAAATGAAGCCCTGGTTCCAGCTGCTTTATATGTGACTGTTCTTCAGTGGTGCTAGCAGATAAATCATCTGGTGTCTTTATGCTAACCATCCCATATCAGCTCTCCTGCCCAGTCTTTCCTTGTCTGTGCTCAGCTGGCGAGCAAGAGCCTCACAGCCTGAAAACTGAGTGTTGTAGCCCTGCTAGAGTTAGCTATGAGGTTGTTAGATGAAGCACGTTTGCAGAGACGAGTGGTGTTTTCTCTATTTATAGGAGAAGCCCTGATATCCAAGCAAAAGAAGAGTTATGGAAGCATATTCAGTGAGTACTAGTTGTTTTTTTTTTGTTTTTTGTTTCTCATTGTTTTAAAACCCATGTAGTTTGAAGGCATTTACAAGGATGACCACTGATACTAAGAGGCTGCCTAGGGCTGAAGCCTGTCAAATCATCTTCAATGTCATCATTATGTACAACATGGCACTCACAGTGGTGCCACCTTACCATGCCAGCAGCCCTGACATCTCTCCTAAAACCACTTAGCCTCGCCTGTAAATGGGCCTCAGATAGACCAATAGTTTACAAATAAATACCCAGGAAAACAGAATCAGAAGAAAAAAAGATACTTACTACAGGGGAGAGAAGGGAATTTTTTATAGGGAAATTGGGGATGGCTGGCGAGCCATCTACATTCTAGATATAGAAAAGTTGGAAGAAGTTAGAAGAGTTACAGAAAAGGTTTCCCTCCCAGTTTTCCTTGAATACATTCGTTTTTAAATCTTTGTTCCTGGCTTATATTCCTGTGAGTTTTGCAAACACTGTGTTTTGGGACAAGTTGTGGAAAGTATTTGTATTTATATCAGCATCCCGACTTTAATTTTCTTGCTTTGTTCCCTTCTAGGAAGGAACTTGTGGATCCATCTGGATTGTCAGAAGAACAATTAAAAGAGATTCCATACACTAAAGTGGAGTGAGTATGTCTTTGAAAATCTTTTCACAGAAGTTTTATTCGTGCTTATAAGTGAGTGATCCCTTGTAACTCTTCAGTGGTGTTCTAAGCAGTGTGTGCATTTGTCTTTACATTTTAACTAAAATTTAAAAACTATAGGGAAAGAAACTTTAAAAGGGTGTATTAAAGCTAATCATTCCCCTGTACTATTGGGTTGTCGGAAAAGTCATGATGCATTTTTGCAATGAAAAACAGAAAAAATACATCATGACTTTTCCGACAACCCAGTACAATCACTCTTATCTCTTGTTAACTGCCTGTTTGTATATGGTAGTTTCAAAGGGACTTTGGGTGATTGATGTTCATTTTAAAATATAAATTGGTTTTTTTTGAGATATTTATTGCTTGGTAACAAAGTTTCCTTTTAGTCATTATTTAGCATCAAGAGAATTATGTTGACCACAAAACCCTGTCCTATAAGCCCAATCCAATCCCTATTTCAGAACTAGCATATTGAACACGCTTCCCGAAAGCATGGGGATTCCCTAACTACCACTCAGTGTAGGCTGCAGCAGAAAATAACCTGTTTACTCTGTTTTCTGCTGTGCTATAATTGGTTAAGAGAAGTAGGAGCTGTTTATTGCTTTATTTCCCTTCGTTCACTCATATTTCCTTCTCACTCTGGTCATGTTGCAGGTTGGTACACACCCTCCCAACCTTCACCCCCAACCCTCTCATCTTTAGGTCAAAGATGGACTTTTTAATGACAGGCTAGTTAGTAGCCAGGACAATGACCACCTTTTTCTGGTAGGAATGCCATTTTGTCTGCATTGTAGATTTTTTTCTTTCACACTACTGGAAAGAATTCAACTGTAGGGAATAATTTCATTACAATTTCGTGGTTAAAAAATATACTTATAAACACATACATCCAAATACTATAGAAAGTTTCGTTTTCACTTATGGTGGAGGGAGCACGTTTCTGTTGTTAACTTGTGAAATTTAAGCCACAAAGGATTTCTGAACCCAGAAGGGTCAAGTTCTTTTTTAAACTCTCAGTCATTATTAGTGCTTTGTGGAATCAATAGTAAGGAATTCTCCTATTCTGACTTAGGGTGTGTTTGTTTCCACGTTGTTTGGTTGGTTGTTCAGGACTCAAGGTGACCCAATCCGCATCAGGCATTCTCATTCGCCGCGAAGTTACCGCCAGTATCGCCGGTCCCAGTGTTCAGATGGAGAGCGATCTGTTCTCTCAGAAGTGAAGTAAGTACCACACCTAAGGACATCATCACCCTCATGGCTCCGGAACCGCACAGTCCAATAGAACTTCCTGTGATGATGGAAATGTTCTCTATCTGTGGCTATTAAATATTTGAAATGTAGGTAGTGTGACCAAGAAGCTAAAAATTGAATATTATTAATTTTAATATATTTAAATTTAAGTAGTCATGTGTGGTTAGTGGCTAACGTATTGGATAGCGCAGATCTAGACCATACTTAGTCTGAATCATGGCACTTCCAAGCTATGCACTGAAACTTTTAGAAGAAAAAAAAAAAATGCATGAACTATTCTATTGTGAATGATGCAGCCATATTTGAGAGAAGCTGGCATAATATCATATTATAGGAGTTTGTATCTTTGTGTTAATTTTACTTTGTGAGGAAAGTGACCATATCTCACTTGACACTGTAGGTGCTATATTTTAAATTAATGTTAATGAAATAATTATGCATCCATTTGTATAAGTACTATAATCATAGAAATTCATGTACTTTGTGTTACTCTGTAGGAATGTTAAACATTAAACTCTAAATTAAGACTCAAAATTTTGATAAACATTAATAAATTGGGAGACAGGCTAGCCCAGTGGAGAGAGGTATAGTCCAGGTTTTGTTTATTTTTTTCGTTTATTTGTAAAATGTAGGTAATGGCTACCTATAGTTCCATAGAATTACAAAAAAGCATAAATGATCAATAAATGTTTCTTCAGAAACAAATAAGAAAGCCATTTATATAACATATTACAGGAAGAAAAGCACATGGGAACCATACCTATGTTTTATTCTTGGTTCTTCTATTTATTTGCTCTGATTTTGGGCAAATTACTGAACCTGACCGACTTAATTCAAAAACACTTATTAAAAGCCTGTCTGTGTAAAGCATTGTGGCGGGCACTATAAGGAATACAAAATATATAAAACATGCTTTCTACACTATCCCCCTCTTCCAACTCAAATTGTGATTCTCAAAAATGAATTCTAAAACTTAACTCTCTGCAGTTCAAAAACGGATCTTGTACCTCCCCTTCCCGTGACCCGGTCTTCAGATGCTCAGGGTTCTGGCGGTTCCACAGTTCATCAGGTTGGTAATCATAAAGGTTTAAGAAGGTGTTTTACTGATGACAGTTTTGAGACACACTTTTCTGGAAGTTCTTTTGGGAGGTAGAGAAATGAATCCTTGATGTTACTCTGAGGCTCTCTGTTTTAAAAGAGCTTGTACACAACATGGAAGGAGAAGGAAGGAGGCGGCTTGCAGGCCCAAGACGGGGCCCGGCCTGGGACGAGTTCTGTTCACAGTGAGCGCTAGAGCTAGCGCAAGGTCCACAGTGATCTGAGGCTTAGGGCAAAGCCAAGGATAACAGAAATCGTAAGATTGTTTGGAGCCAGAATAAAGAAACAATGGCTTCACTAATTGAAAAAAAGAAAGACTTTCAGATATTTTTTTGAGCCAGAGAAACAAGGAGAAAGTGGCAGGTTCACAGGGGGCAGATGTTCTATTGTTAACTGATAGCAGACAGGAGAATTACTCAAGTCCTATTTTATTTCTGTCTTCTCCCTCAAAGAGAATTACTTTTGGTGTGGAAATGTTATAAAAATCTGGTTAAAAGGGAATTCAAGGACATAGCCAGACATCTATTTGCCTTAACAAAACTAATTTAACACTCAGTTGAATTAGAGATATATCAGGGGAGCATTGTAGGAAACATTTCAGCAAGGTATTTGATAGCACCTCTCATGGTGTATTTTTTTTAAAAAGAAAAAAATGTAGGCTGTATAAGATCATTGGATGGATTTATATGTGGTTAAACAACTGCTCAAAAAACGAAGTTGACGTTTATAATGGATCAGTGTTAGCCTGTTTGCAGTGCTGTGGTTTTCAGTCTTTTTTGGATTGTCGACCCCTTTGAAAAGCCAATTATAACTACTGTCTCTCTCCCATAAAAATGCATGTAAGCACATACTACGAGTATACAGTTTTGTATATAAATTCTAGTTCATGGACAGCGTAAGAACACTGACAGCCTAAGAATCCATTATGTACTGCCGTTTGTCTTGATTCATTTTTTGCCAATGACTTGAGCAAGGACAGAAAACACCTGTGCTAATTTAGGTTAGGTTCCCTGGAAACAGATTCTGAGATGGAGATTTGCATGGAGGATGTTGATTATTAGAAAACGCTCTTAGGATCAACACAAGTGTTGGGGAGTGAACAGGTTTGGGCAGAGCCCAGGGTTCTGCAGAACTGAGGGGTACAGTCCCAGCAAAGGCGTCCAGCTTCCACGCGGGGCTCCGGAGCTGAGATGGCCCTTCTGACTCATCCCACCTGAAGCCACAGGGGTTGGGCCTTGACACACTCACGCTCACTAGGCTGCAGTCATAGGATAAAGGGTGCCCCTGGGAAGGGGCATGATTGGGTTAGGTGGCTTCCTTCGGCTGAGGGCAGTTCCTGCGGAGGGGTTGTTTTGAGCTGTGTAGCAGCCATCACTCCCAGCAGCTGGGGGAATGAATGCCTCAGTCAGGAAGATCAGGGTGGTGAACCCCAACTTCCACTGCAATCTGCAGGTTTCATAAATCTGGGAGAGATAATAGATTGTCCAAACAGACAATTTGTTTCAAGTCGATAGCATGTTTTAACAATTATATTCATATAGTTGTTAGGGCTTTGCATTGAGACTGACCTTCATTTATGTCTCCTCGTCTCCACGTACTACTTGTGTGACTTTGGGCAAAGTGTTTAACTTCTAAGCCTCACTCTGTGCAATGTAGATAATAACCTACCTCTGAGGGTTACTGTGAGGATTGATAAGCAGTTATCTTCCAGGACGTTTTTTTTTTCTATTAAATTTAAGGTGGTTTTAACATAAATAGGAATTTTACTTAATTGTATTTTTGCTTTTCCAATTACTCCCTAACTAATCACCATCCCTCAGGAATCTCATAAAACTTATTCACTTTAAATGTTGAAAAATAGCTCTCACTTTGCTGTATACAAGAACAGTTAACATACATCCTCTGATCAGCGGCACTGACTCCAGGCTTGTCGCTGGGACACCTTTGATTTTTAACTCAACAAAGAGCACATCTAAGGACTGATGGGCACTGGTCTGGGCAAGTCAGCAGCCTGTGGACTAAATCTAGTCTGTTGCGTGTGTCTTTATAGCTCAGGAGCTAATAATGGTTTTTACATTTTCAAAGAGTTTTTTAAAAGAGGGTATGTGACAGACAGGAGGAGGTAGTCCTCAATCTGGTCCTTTTAAGGAAAACGTTTGCTGACTCCTGCCCTAGACACTTAACACATGAAAGTAGTAGATAGGCAAAACAATACAAAAAAATTAGGTAAGCATTACAAAGAAACAAAGGCCTGAGTTTAAAAATCAACAGGGGACCTTTCTTTGATAGATGGGATGGTCAGAGGCCATCTCAGAAAGTGACATGTAAAATGAAGCTTTGCAGGTGAGGAGCCAGCTGTGTGAGAGTGGGTGAAAGCTTATGTGAGCAGAGGGGAAAGCATGGGAAAAATTGCTGAGGCCGGAAAGGGCCTGGGTGTTTGAGGAGCTGAAAGACCAGGATGGTCTGAGCTAGTGAGTGAGGAGGGAGATAACTCAGGGCTGTAGATGCCATGGGAAAAGTTTGGATTTTATTCTAATTGCCAGAAGGAAACCTCAGACCCAGATGCCATTTGGAGAAGGGACTCGAGTGACACATGGAAGCAGGAAAGTTGCATTTCCTAAGTTATACCAGTGCCCGAGTTCTGGCAGTGGCCTGGCCTGCCTCAGCCTCACCTTGCCTTTTCATGCAGACTGGTTGAAGGGGGTTGGATTAGGGACTTTGATTCACTCATTTCCTTAAGGTTTGCAGGCAGTGGACAGATTCCATCCCAGACCAACTTAAGAGAAGGTGTAATGTTTGTTTCAGATAACCTCCCAGCTCCTTACTGGTGATTCTTCTGATATATTAGCTCTCCTCCCCAGCCCGGACTCACATGCGCTGGTGTCTTCCTACCTCTCTGGTTGTCTAGACATCTTCCATCCCAAACAGATGTCTCACGTTCCAAAGTTATCTTAACTCATACTCCCTATGCTGAGAATTGTTCCATCAGTGCTTTGTTGAATGTCAGTAAAACAAATTAAGTCAGTCATAGGAACAGATGAAGGGTAACTTCTTAAACGGTGATTTATTTTTAGCCTGAATCTCAAAATAGAATTCTGGATAATGTAGCTCAATTCATGTAGGGGTCTTCTCTGGGGGAAGTAAATATGCTTGTCAGGCTGATGGGACAGGTTAGGCCATCTGTAGCAGGTAAGAGCTGGAAGGTTAAGCGGAGGGAGCTACGGCAGTTCATGTCCTTCACAGGGCCTCCACGTGGGACGGTTGGGTGACGAACATGACACAATTCCAGAAGTCCTGGCTGTGGTGGTGTCCAGGCTCTAGTAGCTCAGTTCTCATTTCTCCATGATGGGGCCTCTACAGTCCAAGTCCCCATGAGAGCTGCTCCACCACAGCTGACAGGAAGCTCTAGCCCCAAGTGATGGGGGTTGTATTCAGTGACTACTGAAAATATAATCAGGGGAGATTGTCACGTCCAGCGTGGCAAGGGCAAATGGGACACGAGAGGGGCGGCGCAGATTGAATAAGTACTAGAGACAAAAGTAAGATTTAAGAGCGAGACCAAGGGACTCAGCCTTCAGAGATAGACTGAGCCACCGGGTCAACGCATGGTTTTTATTGATTCTTTTCAAGGAAGTAAACTGCTGTGCTGTCAGTCA